CTTAGTGATTTTGTAATGGGCCTACATGCACAGTCTAGGGGTGGCCACTGACTATTGCCAAACCCTCAACTGCTGGAGGCAGCTCAGTTAACCCCTTAGTGACCAGTGACATCCATGGTACGTCAATGGCACCGGGCCCACATCGCTTCTCCGGGCCAGTAAATAGGCTGCCCGACCGCGCCGTGTTTCCCCCGGCTCTGCTGCCCAGACTATGTGTCGGGGGGTGAAGCTGGGGAGGAGATTGTTTTTAAAAATAGTATCAAATGAAATAAATGTAAAAAATTTTAATTTTTTTTTAAAAAGTCCCTCGCCCCTGCAAGCACGTGCGTCATAACTTAAACACGCGCCGGGTGCGCCTGCGAAAACGACCACGATATACATGCTGGGTATCGCCGTGCACACCAGAGCAATAATTCTAGGGCCAATATTTATGCATATCTCAAAACTGATGACCTGTCGCGGCTTTTAAAGCATGTACTGAATTTTGTCACAGTTTCACAGACTCACACAATTTTTTACCTGGGCATGTTGGGTATCTATTTACTCACTGTAACCTCATCTTTTATATTTTATTTTAAAAAAAAATAGGTATTTAGTTGTGTTTTGGGGCACTAAATTTAACTAGTGCATTTTTCACAAGTTTTGGGTTCGATAATTTATGCTAATATTGTGCAACATAAAAATTTGTTACTGCAACATTATATACAAAATATATAATGTTTCAGGGTTTGAAGTAATTTCCAGGCCTAAAATGTGAATAATAACAGCGGTGCAAAACAACGAAAAAAAGGCTTTGGCCATGAAGCGAGTGCGATTACCGATATATTTTTTTTCCCGATACTCGCCGATGCCGAGTACCAGAAGTCCCATTCAGGAAGCCAGGCGGCGTGTAATGGTGGCGTGTCACTGTTTACATTCTCCTGCTCTGAAGTTTGGCACAGTGGGAGATTGCTCCATCCACACAGATTAGCATAGATGGAGGAATCTGTTGCACTTTTTTTCCATCTGACAATGGAAAATCTGGTGATAATGGTCAGCTTAAAGGACAGTTCCACCTTTTTTGTAAGTGATTTGTGTTTTTGGTGGTAGTGTAGAGAGAGGTGCAGGGGTGATGTATATTTGTGTGCATTGTCAGGAGTCACAGGGCTGTTTTTCATACTTTAATAGATTCTTTCATAGGCCAGAGTCCTAGAAATTCAAAATTCCCTCCACGTAATCTTCAGTCTCTACTGACTGTGGGGTTGTCATCTGTACCCCCTCCTCATGAACACACAGCTCTGAGTAGACAGTGAGCAGAGATGAGTCATCGCATTTCTTAATAGCTCTCTGTGTCTCCTGCACTTGTTGTGTTTCTAGACCTTCTCTCTGTCACTGTTCTGTGCCTCTCTCTCAGATTTCTCCCTCTCCAGGGCTGTATTTACTCTCTGCTGCCCTCAAGTCCAGGTTCCTCAATGTGCCCACCTCCCCCCACCATTCTTGTCATTTATCGATGACTGTTAGAAAAGATACATTTAAAAAGACACAGGGGGGAGGTGGATTAATCTATTTTTTTTCAGGCTACCTATTTTTTTTATTTTTAGCAACAAGGAAACACATAGTTTAAAGTGACATTAAAGTCAAAAAAAATGTTTCCCTCCCCACAATGTTAATGTTAGCACTTACCTTAAATAAGGTTTCTTAATTCGATCTTCCTCTTTCCTGATGTTTTCATCTGTACCTCCAGCGGTGCGGCGGCTCTGATCCAGCGCTGACTCTTCTCTGCTGGCACTTCTGATCCCATGATGTCTGCATGCGGGTGCACGTGTCCATAGACTTACCTTGTGTCTCTGCTCGTCTCCCGGCTGAAAATGCGAACTGCGCATGCGCCTGCCCCAAGAGGCTTTGCAGCCGCCCGAGCAGTTTCGGATTCTCGGGCGGGAGCGCGCGGCGAAAACAGGGTAAGTTTTTAAACCGCTGTTAAAGCTTTTTATCTACTGCTTGCTAGCAGTAGATATAGGCAAAAAAAACGCAGGGTTTAGAAACCCTTTAAATCCTACCTCCTCAGTTTCACTTCATACCTGTAGCAGTTCTTTAGTTTTTCTTCTAGAGACAGTCTCTCCTTTAAGACTGAATTCCAGGCAAGCTACTAAATACAGAGTTAAAATACAAATACATGTTTCATCTATTAACCCTTCATTTTTGCTGTGATTCTTCCACGGCTGTAATATACTTTCTTACCAAGTGCACCTACACATATTTTATATTGTTTTTTAGAAGACCGATTTGGCTATATAGTTATCACATATAATGCCTCGCTCAGTACGAATAAAATATTTAAAATTTAGGTAACGCTTCAGGGGTGTGGAATTCGTATCGCCCGACGCCCGGGACATGTAGTTCTACGGAAAAGTA